GGGAATGGAAAGGGAAGGAAGGAAAGAAGGAAAGAAAGATAGAGTGACAAGGGGAAGGGAGGGAGGGAGGGAGGGAGGGAGGGAGGGAGGAAGGAAGGAAGGAAAAGAGGGAGGGAGGAAGGGAAATGTGATTTGGCCGGGTCTCTCCTGGGGCTCACTCGCTCGCTCTTTCTTCCTCCCTTCCCAGGATCTGGTGAGCCTGAAGATCCCCGAGCAATTCCGCCATGCCATCTGGAAGGGCCTCCTTGACTACCGGCAGCTGCACGACTTCTCCTCGCCTCCGCACCTCCTGCGCACGCCCAGCGGCGCCTCCACGGTCAGCGTGGGCTCCAGCGAGGCCCGGGGCGAGCGGGTGATCGACGCCGTGCGCTTCACCCTCCGCCAGACCATCTCCTTCCCTCCCCGCGACGACTGGAGCGACTTCAACTTCGACCTGGATGCCCGTCGGAACAAGCAGCAGCGCATCAAAGAGGAAGGGGAGTGAAGCCCCGCCCCACCCCGCTCACACACACACACCCCTCACTCCTCTACCCTCTTCCGGCCAGCCCGAGGACCCTCCCCAACCCGAGGGTCTCCCCAACTGCTCCGATTCCTGTTCTGAACACACACACCCCTCCCCAAATTGGAGGGAAGGGAGCCGAGCGCCGTGCCACGAACTCACTCACTTACTCACTCACTCACACGCCCTGTGTAGCTTTTGCCGGGTTTTTGGTGCTTTGGCTTAACAAGCTGGGCATTGTTGGCGGGGTTCTCTCTCTTTTATTTGTGTGTGTGTAAATCACAACTGGTGCATGTGTGAATGTGAGTGTGCATGAGGGCTGGGTGGCTTTTCAAGTTAAAAAACAAGAAAACATCCACGAAAAAAAATGGATCGTTTGCCCGGCAAATTACGGCTTTCCACATTTCTGGGAGTTGAGGGATCATTGGTTGACTTTTGTGGGAGATCTACACACACACTGCTTTTGTTGTTTTCACACACCACGCGCGCTGCGGTTGTGGTCTTCCCTGGGAAGAGTTGCCTGGATCTCTTGCTGAATTGATCCGTTTTTCCAGTGCCTTTGGACCCCCACTTTCAGAGCAGGGGGGGGTCCAGGATCCAAAACTTATGGACTTCAACTCCCAGAATTCCTCCTCCGGCTGTTTCTTCCCTCCTGTCCCCCCCACAGTGTGGAGAGACTACAGCGAAAGGGATGACAAGAGAGCAAGCAGGCCAGAACGGGTATCCCTCATGAAAACGATGCATTTCGTGCCGGGGAATTCTGGGAATTGAAGTCCACCCGTCTTCAAAGCCACCACAGTTTAAAACCAAAGTCATTTTCAACTGACGGTGTTTTGTTTTTTTTCGCTTTTGAGTTTTTAAATCGGGAGGTGAGAACTTTCCAGAGAAGACAAACGGGGTGTGATGGATGTTGGCTGCGTGCGGTCGGGGATTCAGCAGCACCCTGATCCCTTCCGTTGCAGCCACATGGGTAGGATGGTCCCTTGAAGGAGACGAACGCTGAATTTACCGGAATTTACCGAGTGGCTTGAAAAAATAAAATCTTTTTTGTGTTTGGCTCTTGCAATCCCTACGGATTGTTGCTTTGCACCAGAAAAACGGATGCTCTGTGGGGGGGTTTTTGGTTTGTTTTTCACCCTAGTTGCAATAATACCCACGTAGGTATAATAGCCATACCGCATAGTAGCAACAGCCTCTAGTAGTAATAGGCACGTAAGTGCTGGGAAGTTAGATGCTGATCCGAGATAGTTGGAAAATGGCCTGGGAGGAAGGTTAAATTGGACGTGCAGGTGTCCAATTCTCCCCCCCCCCCGACCCAGACTAATCCCCCAGGCTGCCCGGAGGAGAAACCCTGTTGTGTTTTCCACAGTTGTGGTTCCCTTTGCTCGCGCTAGTGCAAAGTCACTTCTGGCCACGGCGTCCGCTCCGCCACTCAAAAACCGTGGCGCCGTTTCCGAGTTTAAGGTCCTGTTACACGTTCAGAATTTTTCAGGTGGTCTTGGGGTTTCCTGGGGGAGGGGAGAATAAGGAGGAGCCCCCACCCCTTCAGGAAGGTGGCTTGGGAAGGCGACCGAGGGAGGGGGGGTCTTTCCTTCTGTTGGGATCCACAGCCTGCCAGATCTTTCTTGGAAGCCAGGAGATCACGGCTCACCCACCCACCCACCGCTCGGCTTCTCTCGATCATTTCAACGTAGGGTGAGGCCGCTTTATCCGTCCTTCCCTAGCTGTTCTTTCAGACCCTTCCTTTCCTCTCTCCCTTCTTCCTTCTCTCTGTCCCTCCCTTCTTCCCACCATCCTTCCTCTTCCCTCCCTCCCTCCCTCTCTTCTTTCTCTATCCCTCCCTTCCGTCTTCCCACCACTCCTCCCTCCCTCTTTTCTTCTCCCTCCTCCTCTCTCCTTTCCCCTCTATCCATCCCTCCCTTCTTTTCTCCCAATATTTCTCTTCCATCCTTCCGCCTTCCCTCCCCCGCTTCCTCCCTCTCTCCCTGTCCCCCTTCCCCTCCTATTCCCTCCCTTCTTCCTTCCCTTCTCTTCCTCTTTTCCTTTCTT